GCGTTACGTTAATAATTAATTAACGTAATGGAGTTCTGGAATTGTTGGAACACGTTCACAAAAACTCAGATTGGTTCGTGAAAAGTTCTTTCTTTATTGACGTAAGAAATCGATAAAAATTAATAGGTGATATATTGAGACAAATTTCAATTTACTTAATTTTTTTAAACCTTATAAAAACACCCTCTTTCGTAAGAGATTTGCGATCTTCTTCAATTTAAAAAAAATCATTTGAAGGCACATATTTTGCACTTGCATTATTTTGTATTTTTCGTTCCTGTCCACTCTTTTTGGACCATTTGGGAGCAGTGTGCGCCAGTGATGGCATCTCATCACACAACGCCATCCATCAAGAGGCGCAGCGCGCGCACTAAAGCGATCTCCCGCGGCTCACTTCGATTGATCGATCAGCACGCGACAGCCGCGGTCACGAAGGCTTCTCCGACTCTCGATCCGGCCCCCCGGGACCGGCGAGGTATTGAAATTGGGCCGCAAAAAGAAGACGGATGTACGCTGCAAAAGGCTGCCTGCCCCCACAAACAAAACACGCAGGGGGCGAGCGTGACCATTAACAGAATTGTTTCGAGCCATCTGTTTGACGAGGACAAGACTATTGTGTCAAGGCTCAAGATCATTAGATTTGGATTTATTAAGAATTCTGCAATTAAGTTTGAGAACTTTGTGGCAGAATACACTAACTTAAGATTACACAACTTAACAACATTACATATTTCTTCAAACTTTACAAATTAACATTTCACCATACAACTTCCATAGCACTCCACTCATAACATGTGTCTACTTTAATTTTGTATGGAGTATACTTCTCGGTAGAATTGATAGTTATAGACACATTACACGCGAGTTTAAACCCTTTTATAAGAAGCCATATAACTTCCGTAAGTGTATTACTTCTGTTAAGGGAATTACTCCACCGTGTACCAAACAGATTTAAGACGAAAATGTGTTTGCCTAATAGATTTCAGTCGTCAAGTACATTTTACCTGGCCTTCGAACGTTTTCTTTGAGTATGTTGTATTTACTCAGGCACTAGTTAATATCCCAGGTTTTCGACCTCCTAGACTCTGTGATAACTCCAGAAGGCCCAAAACACCGACACTTTTACTGCCTTTTTAGGATTTTTCTCTACAACGCTTTGATCGGAAATCCTGTATAAAATCGGTCAAAATCAACTTTAAAGAGGGTAACAGTTCCTAAAACTTGCATTAAAAATGTATTCCGATACCAATTACCAAGCGAGTTACAGCATGTAAGAAAACGCTATTTCTTCATTTATCCAAAAAGATCTGTCTGAACCAAATGTATCATTAAAGAAATCTGTGTACTGAATATTATAGTTGTAGAAAAACGACGAAAAAAATTGAATTTTGACTTTTCAAGATTCAGCAATTTTAATCAAAAATAGACTTGCGCCACTTTTAGTGTTTTTTACGTTATCCGAGGGCAAAGTTTAATAACAAATAGTTTGAACATTTTTTTTTAAATTCGAAAATATTATTGAGGCTTCATGTATAGTACCCTTCATAATTAAAATATTCGTTTCAGACTCGGAGGTTTTTGAGTTCGTTCAGATTGACCAGGGATTATCAATTTTGGAGAAAATTGTCTGAACGGTGTAGGGGGTAGAGTAGAAAATAGATGGATGGACGTATATTTTTGCCGAACGTTTTGCCGTCAATCAATTTTTCGGTATCAAGCACGCGCGAAAAGTAATTTCGGGCTGTACAATGTAGTAGATGAAGTAGTTTATTACGTATAAGATAAGGATTTATCCACTTTTCCATTACTATAGTTCGACAATAGCAATTTTTCTGTCGAAAAAATTGCCTATTTCTGCCGCACGATTACAATACTTTCTCTTTACAACGTAGTTCATAGAAGGCAAGAAAGTGAAATTATTAAAAAATGTTGAATTGAAGCTGAACTGAATGAATGGTCAGAATAAAGTATAAATTCGAAATCTATGTAAAAAGTGGAAAAGGGTAAATTTGAAAACCATGTTGGCTGGCCTGTAATGTTTTGAAGTGCAGTTCAGGGGCTGGTTGATGTTGGAGTCAAGTTTGAAGCAATTTTGACTTTAAAAACGATGATTATCAAAGTGAGGAATGTTATTTTTGTAACGTGAGGTTGCTCAAGAAAGCCGCCGGTCCAGATGTAGTCCTAGATACCTTACTTGTTTGGCTTCCGATATGGCTTGGACATTTTGTTTTATTAGAAGTCAGGTTTCTTGGCGTAGCGTGAAAGTCATGTGGACTGATTGACTGATATCCTGCAACTTTTCAGCTATTTTTCATAGTGTTCGTATGTGTCAGAAGACACAATGAAACATGATTGGGTCGTCTGAGGCTATTATCAGCAGCAATATCATGAGTAAATGTTGCCACTGTAGTATTCACAATCTTCATTCACCAAGTTATCTTTACGAATAGAAATCTTGTCTGCATCGGCAATGTCTTGCAGTGTGTGCTTGCAGTGTGTATGCTACATCCGAGTGCGTCTGTGCTCCACCAGCACGGACCACGCCCCCCCCCGCCCTCCCCCCAGGGAGGGGCCTCGTGCAGAGCGAGTGAGTCGCTCGCGTCACACCCACGAAGTCTCTCGCTGGGCGGCCTCCAACGCGCCCTCCGGCCCGATTGGCCGCCTCGCGCGGTCCACGCCGCCGGCTGGCCTCCGGCGGTCGCGTGTCGACTCCCGAGTGGGCTCTGCCCGACTACCTCCTGGCTGCAGAGACTGGACTGGCCTTTCGACTCCCAGATAACGGTGATGGAAAACCACTACCGTGGCAACGTGCGGTGCGCGCTCCTCTGCGGCTTCTTTATAGAATAAAACACGAACTGCTGCCAACGAATACTTAAAGCGTGCCGAGGCTGCTGCGTGAGTTTCGAGAAGTCGCAAGCAGGCGTGTATGTTACAAAAGGTCGCGTTGAGTCCACGCTTTCTTTAGGGTTTCTTATAGGTGTTGTATGTATGAAAACGAACATTAAGAAGACGCTTTTTTTTTTTTCTATTCCACAATTACCCCATTTTTATGAGCAGAAGTTTAGCGAGCTAATCTTGCAGCTGTGACCCGGCAATAGTAGTGCTTCCTCGAGTAGCACCTTCGTGGCTTCGTCCCAGTTTTGGCGAAGAGATCAAAGGCACCTGGACGGATCCGACTGTCTAACCTCCGGCCCCTGGCCGCCTTTTTCGTAGGCCAGGGGCGATGTGACAGCCCGGGCGACGGCTG